AGCCACTCAGGTGCCCCTGGAAGTTTGTACCTCTTAATTCCCTTCACCTATTTTGCCCATCCCCCCTCCACCCACGTCCTCTCTGGTAATTACCGGTTTGTTCTCTATAGTTAAGAGTTTGTTTCTTTGTTCATTTGTTTTGTTTTTTAGATTCCACATATAAGTGAAATTGTATGGTATTTGTCTTTCTCTGACTGACTTATTTTACTTAGCACAATATCCTTCGGTTCCACCATGTTGTCACATGATCTCATTCTTTTTTTATGGCTGAATAACATTCCATTGTGTATATGTGTGTATATATATGTATATCTATACATATCTTCTTTATCCATTAATCTATTGATAAACATTTGGGTTGCTTCCATATCTTGGCTATGGTAAATAATGCTGCAATAAACATATGGGTGCATATATCTTCTTAAATTAGTGTTTTCATTTTCTTTGGTTAAATACCCAGTAGTGGAATTACTAGACTGTATGGTATTTTTCTTTTTCCCTATGTTTCTTATGCTGTACCCTTCATCCTTGTGATGTATTCATTCCATAACTGCAAGCCTTAAACCTCCTACTCCCCTTGGCATTTCTATTTTTAATTTTTTTTTTAAAGATTTTTATTTATTTATTTGTCAGAGAGAGAGAGCACACAAGCAGGGGGAGCAGCAGAGGGAGAGGGAGGGAGAAGCAGGCTTCCCGTGGAGGAGGGAGACCGATGTGGGGCTCGATCCCAGGACCCTGGGATCATGACCTGAGCCAAAGGCAGATGCTTAACGACTGAGCCACCCAGGCGCCCCTCTATTTTTAATTTTTTAAGGACCCTCCATATTGTTTTTCACAATGGCCGAATCAATTTATATTCCCACCATCAGCGCATGAGGATTCCCTTTTCTCCATATCCTTGCCAACACTTGCTATGTCTTAACTTTTTGATACTAGACATTTTGACAGGTGTAAGGTGATATCTCATTGTGGTTTTGATCTGCATCTCCCTCATGATTAGTGAGGTTGAACATCTTTTCACAGAGAGTTCATATTTATCTTTGCCATTTCTGCTATGTGTTTTTCCTTCCTCCAAAGCAATTTCTGACACAGAAAAAATATATATGGAAACCTAGAATAATCAGTTTCATAGAGAAAGAAAGTAGTAGAGTGGTTGCTAGAAGATAAGACGAGAGGAGAATGGGGAGTTATTGTTTAACTGGCACAGAGTTTGGGAAGATGAAAAAGTTCTGGAGATAGATGGTGGTAATAGTTGCAGAACAGTGTGAATTTACTTAATGTTACTACTGAACTATACACAGATATGACTAAAATGGCAAGTTTTATGTTATATATACTCTACCACAGTAAATAAGTGTGAAGATATACAGGGAAAATGAAATAAATTCTTTCTTTAAAAAAATTATATCGGGGTGCCTGGGCGGCTCAGTTGGTTAAGCGTCTGCCTTCGGTTCAAGTCATGATCTCGGGTCCTGGGATCGAGCCCCGCATCAGGCTCCCTGCTCGGTGGACAGTCTGCTTCTCTCTCTCCCTCTGCTGCTCCCTCTGCTTGTGCTCTCTCTCTGGCTCTCTCTCTCAAATAAATAAATACATTTTTAAAAAAACCCAAATTTAAGAATACAAATTTCATTGACACTTTTTTTTTTAAAGATTTTATTTATTTATTCGACAGAGAGAGAAAGAGACAGTGAGAGACGGAACACGAGCAGGGGGAGTGGGAGAGGGAGAAGCGGGCTTCCCGCTGAGCAGGGAGCCCGATGCGGGGCTCGATCCCAGGACCCTGGGATCATGACCTGAGCCGAAGGCAGACGCTTAACGTGCCCCCGACACACAATTTTCTCATTTTCATTTTATAATTTCTACTATACAGACTGTTAGAAAGCAAGGATAGGGGCGCCTGGGTGGCTCAGTCGTTAAGCATCTTTTAAAATTTTAAATTTATTTAATTTTAATTTTAAAATTAAAAGAATAAATTATACATAAAATTATTAGCCTTTTAGCAAAACCCAAAACCATATGGTGTTTGTTTCTGTTTTCAATTTATTCTGATTATATAAATAAATTCTGAAGGCGGCAATTCTCCAAATGACCACAGTAAAATTTATGTCAATAAAAACATTTTGTCAATTTGTTTAAGTGTTTTAAACATACCACGTTTTGGGATATTTGCTTAATAACATCGTGAAGCACAATGGCAAGCATATAAAATTAGTGATATACAAAATAGAAAGTTTTAAGATTTTTTAATAAGACTATATAATTCCTGTTTTTTATTTTAGATTTTAAGTTCACTAGACAGAAACTGTGTTTAAAAATTTGGGGGGTGGTTAAATAAATTGTAAGAGCTTAGAAATAACTATTATGAATAATTAAGAAAGGGGTACAATGAAAGTTTCTAAAAATATCAGCATTAGGGAATTTCATTTAAAATAACAAATATTCACCAAAGCAACCACTACTAACAGTTTTTAATTCCAGAAATGCACAGACATGCATCATCATGTGTACATACAGACATTTAATTTCTACATTTAATACTTTATAAACTGAGAACATTTATTAGCACCTCGTTTCCAGTTTTTTCCTAGTATAGGCAATTTAGATAACCATTAACAGGGACTGGTCAAATAAATCTGGAATATCCAAAATCGGAATAGAATGCAACCATTAAAAAGAATGAAGTAGATCTACATGCACTGATATGTTGATATTTCTGAAAATAAATTATGTGGAAAAAGCAGGTACAGAACTGTACCATAAATACACAAAGTAAACTGTTAATAGTAGTGATATCTGGGGAATGTGACTGGGCGTGGGGTGGGAGTAGAGTTTTTCCTTTTTACTGTATAGCCTTCTGGACTATTTGACAAATTTTCCATATACACACATTATTATTATACTTAAAATTAGCTATAAAAGTGCACATCAGTAGTCTTTATAACATCATACATATGCTGAGTGGCACTTTACAGAGGGTGGGGTGGGGGGGCAGTACAGTCTACAAAACATTATTTTTATTGTGTTTTCCCAAAGATTTTATTTTTAAGTAATCTCTACACCCAACGTGGGGGCTGGAGAGATCAGGAGTTGCATGCTCTACCAACTGAGCCAGCCAGGCACCCCACAGAATATTAGACTTTAAACAGAATAAGCCTTATGTGCCATGGAGCGCCTGGGTGGTGCAGGCGGTTAAGTGTCCGACTCTTGGCTTTGGCTCAGGTCATGATCGCAGGTGAGACTGAGCCCCGCGGTGGGCTCCAATCAGTGCAGAGCCTGCTTGAGACTCTCCCTCTCCCCGCTGCATGCTTTCTCTCTAAATTAAATAAATAAATCTTAAGAAAAAAATAAGCATTATATGCCAGGCTCTGTGGATATAAAGGTGAACCAGATGCTTCGCCTATTCAGTCTCATAGGAAAAACACAGTAAACATCGAGTGGTCTCAGATACTATAGACTTACACACACACACACACACACACACACACGCACACTGTGGGAGGTCAAGGGAATGAACCACTGGCTTGGCCTGTGAGGAGAGGAACTCCAGCTGACCTTCTGGCTCTGTCTTGGAAGACAACACAGACTGGTGGACAAGGCAGGCGATAATCCCAGTCAAAAGGAACAACATGTCCAGGGGCATGGAGTCGTGAAGCTGTATGGCGTATTTCTGAGCAGCAAAGAGTTCAGTAAGGCAGGAGAACGGAGTGTGGGACGATGGTGAGAGAACGAATGGGAAGGCAAGGAGGGCAGAGTGGTTAGGTTAGGCTCGCGCACCGTGCCCACCAGCCAGATTTTATCCTGTACATGGTGCAACGCTACCAAGTCTGTGAAAAGCAGCCTGGCGGTGGTGTGGTGGGTGGACGACGACAACAAAGGCAGGGAGCATGGTTCCTGGGCTTCCTGCTGGCTGCCGCATTCACTACTCACCGGATGGACCAACGGACAGTCCTGGGTTACGAGTATGGTGGGAGCAATGAAAGGGAAGGAATACCTTCAAAAGATATTCCTGAGGTGAAAAGCAGAAGACACGGGTCCTGACTAGGTGTCTAGACAGTGCTGTGATTCAGTTGGAGCAAACCACAGATGGGAAATACATTTAACACTGAGACCACAGGATGAGGCAGCAGTGGTGAAATGGATTTCATTCATTTGAGCACCAAATAGCTATTGATTGTGCATCGCATGTGCCAAGCACTGGGCCAGGCCGAGGCTATAAAGATGAGTACACCCGGCCCTGACTTCACAGAGCTGTCTGCTGGTGGGAGCGGACGGACAACCATGATCACAGCCCAACGGGAGATAAGTCCTCGATGGACACATGAGGTAGTGGTTGTGACAGCGGTGGGGGCAGAGGAAATGGAGTCTAAGTTGGCCTGGGGGAGACATGAACCAATTCTCCAAAGAAGCACTTGTTGAACTGAAGACTTGAAAGATGAGGAACACTTGTCAGGTAGATGCCCAGGAGAGGAAGCAGAACCATACCTGCCAAAGCCAAGAGTATGTGAATACAGAAGGAGATGAGGGGGAGAGAGGAGGCTGAAGGGCCTGATCCGAAGAGTCTTGCATGAAAGCAGTCACTAGGTGACTCCCCTTCTCACCACCAAACCCCCTGTCACCCCAACAAACCTGTCTTCCACACTGCTGCTACAGAGAGCTATCTCCTAACTTTTCATTTTTAAAAACTACACAGAGGAGCACCTGGGTGGCTCAGTCGTTAAGCATCTGCCTTTGGCTCAGGTCATGATCCCAGGGTCCTGGGATCGAGCCCTGCATAGGGCTCCCTGCTCCACGGGGGGTCTGCTTCTCCCTCTGCCCCTCCCCAAATCTTGTGTGCCTCACACTCTCTCTCTGATAAATAAATAAAATCTTTAAATAAAAACTGCAAAGAGATGAAGGAACAGTATAACGAAGACCTCTATACCCTGCATGTAGGTGAAAAAATGAACATTTTATCATTTTAAATCTTTCTATATATATTTGTTTTTATTTTTACCAAACCGTTTGAAAGCAGAGCACAGACCCTATGATACTTTATCCCTAAATGCTTCAGTATGCACCTCCTAAGAACAAAGAGAAAACCATGATATGATTTTCACATCCGAGGAAAAGAATAATTCTATCTAATATACATTTCATATATTAAACTGTCCCCAGGGATGCCTGGGTGGCTCAGTTGGTTAAGCGTCTGCCTTTGGCTCAGGTCGTGATCCTGGGGCCCTGGGATAGAGCCTGCTGAGCAGGGAGCCTGAATCTCCCTCTCCCTGCCACTCCCCCTGCTTGTGCTCTCACTCTCCCTCTGTCAAATAAATAAAATCTTAAAAAAAAAAAAAATTGAAACAAAAAACTGTCCCGTTGTTCCCAAAATGTCTTTTATAGTTTTTCTTGGCAAGGGTAGGGTGGGGTGGGATGGGAAAGAAAAGGGATTAGCATCCAGTCCAAGTTCACGTCATAGAGATCTTTCTAATAGGAAAAAGTTCTGCTCAGAATTCTTTAGTTGTCCCCTTCACCAACAGGTTCAAGTCCTTACTCTTCATAGGACTCCAGACAAGTGTTGCCAAGAGTTGAGGTAGGGGAATGGTGAGAGAGAAGGTAGAGTCAAGATGTGCTGGAGGTAGAACTGACAGATCTGGCAGCTGGCTAGCTGGGAGAGAGCAAGACGGGGTGGGTTTGGGGCCACTAAATGGAAGATGTACCATTTCTGGGGAGAGAACCCGGGAGGGACAAGCAGGTTCTGTAGGAGGAAGATGAGTTAAATTCTGGGTACAAAGGCATCTCAAGGACCAGTAGGACACTAGAGCAATGTCCACTAAGCAACTGGAACTCCAGGCCTGGCACTGAGCAGAGCTAAGAGGTGCTGGCAAATAAGTCTCCTGGGAAGGCTTCCTCCTTCCCCTCTGAAATCCCGCTCACAAGGTCACTCAGACTCCTGTTGGCAAATCCAGTTTTCTGTCATCTTAACTTTTTAGCAGCATCTGGCACAGTTGACCACCACCTCCTTGAAATACCTCCCCTTGGGCACTGCCACAAACAGTGAGTGACCTCGCTGGCTCCTCCTTCCCAGTCTCCCTTGCTGCCTCTCCTTCCTACATCTAGCCTGTGAATGAATGTTCCTTCCTTCCTTCCTTCTGCCCTCCCTCCCTTCTTTTATTTTTTTAATTTAAAGATTTTATTTATTTATTTTTTAGAGAGCGAGAGAGAAACAGCATGAGAGGGGAGAGGGTCAGAGGGAGAAGCAGGCTCCCCGCTGAGCCAGGAGCCCGATGTGGGACTCGATCCCAGGACCCTGGGATCATGACCTGAGCCGAAGGCAGTTGCTTAACCGACTGAGCCACCCAGGCGCCCCTATTTTTTTTAATTTAAATTCAAGCTAGTTAACATATAGTGTAGTATTGGTTTCAGGAGCAGAATTTTTTGATTCATCACTTACATATAACACCCGGTGCTCATCCCAACAAGTGCCCTCCTTAATGTCTATCAACCATCTAGCCCACCCCCCAGCCCTGTTTGTTCTCCATATTTGATTCTCTTATGGTTTGCCTCTGTTTTTATCTCATTTTATTTTTCCTTCCCTTCCCCTATGTTCATCTGTTGTGTGTCTTAAATTTCACATATGAGTGAAATTATATATTTGCCTTTCTCTGACTGACTTAATTTGCTTAGCGTAACACCCTCTAGTTCTATCCACGTTGTTGCAAATGGCAAGATTTTATTCTTTTTGAAGCCTGAGTAATATTCCACTGTGTGTCTGTCTGTCTGTCTATTTATCTATCTATCTATCCATCTTCTTTATCCATTCATCAGTTGATGGACATTTGGGTTCTTTCCATAATTTGGCTAGCCTGTGAATGTTGACACACCTCAGGGCCTGTTTCTTAGCCCCTTCTCTATCCACACTCTTCAAGCAATCTCCTCCATTCCTATGGTTTTAAAAAATGTTTTATTAAGAAAAATTTCAATTAAATGCAATACAGTATAATGAAACCCACGGATCTATCAACATTTGGCATTCCTATAAACCAACAACTCCCAAATGTAACCTGTAGTCCAGACATCTCCTTTGAGGGTCAAATAGATCAAACAGGCCAAATGCCTTTCCATTGAATAGCTCACAGCCATCTCAAACTTTACCAGGTTCAAAAGTGCTCTGGATTCCCCTCTCCCCACACCGTATCTGTTCTTCCTCCTCCCAATTAGGAGCAAGCTCCCAGATGGCAACAACTTTATGCACGGATATTTCCCAACAGCGCCTGGCACATGGTGGGAACTCATATGCCTGTGGAACCAGTGACTTTCAGTAAATGGCACCAGCATCTGCCCATTCTGTCTCCTTTCCAAAATCAGACTGATATGTTAAAAACATAGATCAGATCATGTCACACTAGAATGTATACCCTTAAATGTCTTCCATGTCTCTTGGTATAAAATCCAAACTCTCTAAAATGGCTTGCAAGGCCTGGAATCACAGGGCTCGTGCTCCCTTCCACCTGTCTTCCATCTTCCTAGGCTTTTCTGGAGTTTCCTGGTATGCCTTACTCCTTCCCAGTCAGGGCTTTCCTGCACACTGACCCTTCAGGTCTCAGCTTAATGGCACCTTCCTGGAGAGGCCTTCCATGATCTCACGGGGTAGGTTCCCTGATCTTCTCTCACACCACCTACTTCAATCTTTAAGTCTATATGAATTTTTACCGCTGCCATGGCTTCCTGCGGAGAGTGACCATGGCTATTGTGCTGAGTTCCACAAGGCTTCAAAGACATCGTATACATTCAAAATTTGTAGAATCAGTGAATTAACTGGGTCTAGATTGAGTCCCAAAAAACTCCTACAGTTAAGACAGTCAAAAGATACAGGGGGCCTGAGAGAGTAATCCAAGAGCCAACAGGCTGGGCTTCAGTTTCAAGAGCATTTGGCCCCAGCAGGAAGTGGGGGCACTGGGCAGACCCAGGTCCAAATCTCCAATTTACTAGCTTTGTGACTTTGGGCACTTTAGGTGAATATGTTGGGTGAACACCTTCAGCCTCAGCTGTCTTTTTGGAAAGAAGAAAATATGAATTTCAGTTTCTTATCACCTGTGTGGAAAAAAACAAGACACAGTGGATGCTCAATAACAGAATAAAAATAAGAGGTTGACTTGTTAATCAACTTGTAAACATAAACATCAAATTTGGAAATACAAGCTGGGCATCGGTCCTAGGAAAGGTGCTGGGCCCGATAAACTTGAGTTCAAATGCCTTTTCTAGCTAGCTGTCTCACCCTCTTTGAGGTTCCATCTCATTTGTAAAATGCAGATCCTGTTACTTAAGATTGCTTCTAGGATTAGATTAAATAAACTCTCTGGCTCATAGTCAGAGTTTAACAAACAGGCAGTCAGTCCCTTTACCCTTTCGTTAAGTGACAACTGAATTTTCTAAAGGCTCATTATTTAACTACAAACAGATAACGTTTAAATTATCCAATGTAAAGAAAACAAGAAAGCCAAATCTGCGTGTCAGTCAGTATGAGGTGGGTTTTTGAACATGGAAAACAAGAACGGACGTCAAAGGGATGGATTAAACCGAATATTTGATCCAGTGCGTTTTGAAGAAGTTTAAACTTGAACCCAGTGTTGGTAACTTGTAAGTACTTTTTGACCCGTTGCCTACTTTTCGACGCAAGTCGGACTGTTCGTAGTGCTGAGACTTCCCCACTACTCCCTTCGTCTCCCTGAGGGCTCACCCCGGATGAGTTATTTTATTTCTTCCTCGCCACCTCGGAGGTTAAGTAGTAGCTCTACTGCCATCTGCGGATGCAGACGTCGCGGCTTCGCGCGGCCGCGCAGCCTTCTCCGGGCGCCGCGACAAGCCGGAGGCCGAGGCCAGGGCCTGGGGCCTCGGCCGCGCGCGCGCCCTCGGCCACCGCTCGGGTGGCGCCGGGTCAAGGTCCCGCAGGCCGGGCCCTGGCACCGAGCGCCGTCCCCGCCGTGACCTTGAGCCCGGCAAGCCCGGAACGCGCTCCGACTCTGCCGAGGCTCCCGCCCGCCCCGGCCGGGCCGACCGCGGCCTCGGACCCGCAGCCCCGGCGGCCATGCCCGAGGGAGCGCTGCCGGGCCGGGGCGGAGACCCGCGCCGGGGGACCCCGCGCCCCCCGCCCCGCGGCGGCCACTCCCCGGCCGCTCCCGGAAAGGGCGGCGCTGCTCACCGGAGCGCGAGCTGGAGGCTGCAGGGGGCGGCCCGCCGCAGGACACCGCCGGCCGAGGCCGCTCCGCGGGCGTGTAGTACTCGCGCCGCCATCTTGCTCTGGCGCCTGGGCTCCCACCACCCGGGCCGCCGCTGACGCCGCCGCCGCCGCCGCCGCGACCCCTCCCCCGGCCGGGCCCGCCGAGGCTGGGGCGGGGCGGGGCGGGGCGGGGCGCGCGACCGCTGCAGCGCCGGGCGCCGCCGCCAGGGGCAGCAGCGCGCACGGTCCCCGCGCGGGGAGGCCCGCCGCTGTGAGGAAGGCGCGCTGGCCGGAGAGGACTACACTAGGGGGCAGTAATCCCCTGCGAAAGGAGCTGGGTGTCCTGAACAGGGTGCGCAAGAGGAACGTGGGCAAGGCTTTACTGTACAAGAAAAGAGTAACACTGTGTTAAATCCAGGCTTCTCCCCCAATACCTTTTGAACTTTGTACCGTGTAAATATATTACCTTTTCAAACCAAAACCAGACCCCAAACAACGCTTTAATAAAAACATTCTGGATGAAAACATACTCAAGTTATCTCGTAGTCTCGGGACTACATTGTTCCTGTTCATGTCAACACTGGCGGGCGCTGGTCGGGCCTCCATTGTCAAGCCGGTCCAGTCTAGTAGCAGCAGGATGTGAAACAACGATTGGCTGAGTGTGTCAAGTGTTGAAATGAAGAGGTTCTCGGGACGGGAGGGGGGCACAGACGGGAGATCGGGTAAGTGGCCGTGGCTGTGAAGCAGAGGATAGAGGCCGAGTTGCTGGCACAACAGCGCAGTCCCAAGGGAAGAGGAGTTGACCAGTGGAAGGGAGGACATCTCGGCCAAGAAACCCTGGGTGGCTCAGTCCTTAAGCGTCTGCCTTCGGCTCGGGTCACGATCCCAGGGTCCTGGGATAGAGCCCCGCATCGGGCTCCCTGCTCCGCGGGGAGCCTGCTTCTCCCTCTCCCACTCCCGCTGCTTGTGTTCCCTCTCTCGCTGTATCTCTCTCTGTCAAATAAATAAAATCTTAAAAAAAAAAAAAGAAAACAACTTAAAGGTCTGGGTCAGGATGGGCAATGTATCCTGGGTAAGATAAAAGAGCCACAGGTGTACCTTGAAAACTGCAACCAAGAGGGGGTAGGCAGAAAGGGAGCTAGACAGTGAGAGAAGGGGGAGGCACAGGGAAGAGTAGAGGCCCCAGCCAGCAAGGCGAACATTTGACGGACAGTGCAAGAGTCTGCAGAGGCCGAGAGGAAAATGCCCTCAGGACTGGGTAGCTGGGAGGTCTCTGTTACCCAGGCCGGTCTCTGCGTAAGAGGGGTGGGGGCAGGAACTGCGCTTCTTGGAGGCAAAGGAAGCATTGGAGCTTAAAGGGTGCAGTTTTCTGACTGGGGGGAATATTTGAACATGTTAATATGTCAAGGAGCCGCCAGGGAGGACACAAAGGGACCCTGTGGATGGAGGAATGGCAACAAGGTTTCTTGGAGGCCAGTGAAAAGAAGACCAAGGGACGCAGGACAGGAGGCCAGAGGCTGTGTGGCTGAGCAGGTTCCTGATCTCAACTGGCCAATGCTTAGTGAGCCTGTAAGAAACTGGAGAGGCCCAAAGGGAGGCTGAAGTGAGCTTTCCCAAGGGCAGAAAGGACATGTCCCAATCCTCCGCTGCAGGAGACAAGCCTCTTCAAGCCAGTGGTGTCACTGTACCCTTGTGACTTCACACAGGGTCTCCCAACTTCTCAGTTAATCCAGAGACAAATGCTTTCACATGTATTTCCCTGAGATGTAAACCTGGTAAGTATTTCTTGGGTTGACTGCTTTTGTGCTATTTAGTATTAGGCCACTTATTCTGCATTTTTTTCTCCACTATCCTCTTGCTCCAGAGTTCCATTAACCCAGTGCTTTTTACTGGGCGAGGTACTCTTATTTCACAGGTGTATAGCTTAGGTTACTCAATGCCATAGAAGAAATACTGGGCATATTCCTGGAGCATAATTTTTACACCAAGATTATTTGGAAAGGTATCTTAAGATAAAAAACAATAGAGTGTATGTAAGCATTTTAAGTATTTGAGGTTTTTGAGATGGCTTGTATAGGTGTCCTGTCTCTTCCAGGATAACGGGTTCCATATAGCTTCACCCGTGGGAGACATGCACACCCTTTTGCTTGTTGGAAAATCATCTATCCTTTCCTCTTTCCTTATCCAGCTCAGTTTAGGTCTTAGGGCCAGTCTTTGAATAAGTCTGTCTCCTTCCTTCTGATCTTTCCCCTTCCAGTCCCATTCTCTACATGATGCTATTACTTTTATAGGAGTGTGAATCTAATTATATCATTCTCTTTAGAAATGTCAAATAACCCACAACCACTTAAGTGTAATTTCCACCTACTTCTCTTTTTTTTTACACGATAGAAGTTTATTAAGCAAGGATACAGAAAAAGCTCTCAGGAGAGGGGTCCTGACAGGGTTGCCCTCCGCCTATTCCTTTACCTGAGCTCCACTCGTGTTCAAAATGTCCCAGCAGTCCTCATCAGCTTACAGAAGACCTTGGTTATGCTCCTTTCTCTCATACTTTCAGAATTTTACACTGTTCCCTCTGCCTTGAATGCCCTTTCCACAACCCTCATCTACTAGCCTGGAGACTGCTCCTTTAAGATTCAGTTCTAGCACTATCTAGTCTCTTCTGGGGAAGTTATCCTTATTTCTTCCCTACCCATATGCTTCTGTTTGCTATTAAGGAAACCATGCATACCTCACTTCCTAGATTATGAACCTTCAGTGGGTGAGCAGTGCTTGTGGTTACTGTTGAAACCCTGTGCTTATATAATACACATATTAGTTGAGGTTGAAACATGCTCCAAGTCTCTTTCTAGGAGCTAGGAAACTGAAATATGTAACTCAAGTGTGTCTTCAGGTCAAAATCTAGGTTCATAGTTTATTAATAAGCAGCAACAAAACTGAAACTCTCCAACTCAAATGCATAGTGTGAGCTCTAAAACTTCATCAATGTATCGGATTTTATGAATTCAGTCCTATCTAATCTATGCTAGAATACAGGATAAAAGAAAAGTGAATTTTCAAGTTTTATTTTCTATGTGTCAACATTCATAATACAGACTTTAATCTGATAAAGTCTGACCCCAATCAGACTGTTGATTATTTCGATTTGTAACTGATTAAATCAGAGAAAAAAAAATTTAATTTCGAATATATGCCACCAAAAATAAAGATTCACTTAATGCAGTCTTATTTGTTTTATATCAAAAGATTTTTCCTCCCCAAATAAAGATTCTAAGATAAATTCAAGATTCCTTTGAATGAAAAAAAAAAAATACACCTTCTAAAACAGCTTACAAAACAATGCAGGGGATTGCTAGGCACACTTACTGTAAGAGGAAAGTGTGTTCAATGAAAAGGAAATTGAAAACATGACCTTAACCTTTTATGAGAATTTAACAAGGCCTTTGCTTTATTTACCTTTAGCTATTCCATAAATACCGGAAGAGAAATTGGACACTTTGTTATGAAACTTAGAAAAATTTCTTTTTTCCATAAAGCAAACTTATAAATCCCTTTGGCTCCTTCTTCCAATCCTCCTTCACTGTGCTGAAGAGCTATTGAGTTCTTCCAGATTTTTTGTTAGGCAGGTGGTTTCCAAGCTGACTGGGCTTTCCAGGTAGGTAGTTCCTGCACAGGGTTTTCCAGTCACCGGATCTATAACTTGTCCAACTTTGAAAATGATCTCGGCCAGTTCATGTTTCACATGCTTTGTTCGTGGAACAGGTAGAGCTTTGAGAAGCACAATATCCCCAACTGTGCACTGCTGAAGAGCATCGTGAGCAAAGTAGGTTTTACGCTTATTAAAATACTGTTGAAAGAAGGAGGAACAAATCAGTAGTTCCCATCTGTGATCTGACAATATAGTATAGAATATGAAAGAGTAATGCACAGAAAACAAGCTGGGACTTGGGGAAAAGAGATAATATACTTAGGAGGCTTCTAATACAAAAATTAGCTGCTTAATTTCTGGAAAACAGTATATTTTAGAGTGGATCATGTCCCTGAGCTCTCCAGCCTATTACCCTCAGTATCCTTGTCTATCAATCATCATCCTTCTTTACCCTTATTTAAACTCTTCCTTCCTAGGGGAGCCTTCTCTCCAGCCTATAAACATGCTACTTTCACTTCTAGTTCTGGGCCAAGTCACTTAATCATTCCCCATCATAAGCTCAGTTTTTTTTTTCCCCAACATAAAATAAGGCTCCAATATCTCCATCTCTAAAGTTAACCAGAGAATCAAATGTTATAATATACATAAAACACTTAGCTCCATGGGTGGCTCGAAGTACTGCAAACAAGCCACAGATGGTCATAAACAACCTTGCTACAGAAGGTATTCTCATTCTACATATGAGAAAACAGGCTCTGGAGTAAGGTAATGGGCACAGCTAGTAAACAATAGTCAATATTCAAGCTAAGGTCTTCTGACTCTCAGGCCAATGATCATGCTGCCACTCTTCAGCTTGCTCCTGTGTTGTTGTTAATAAAAGGCCACTTTATTTTGCTCCTTAACCCACCTGGTGCCCCCTTCCCTCAACTCTGTCACCTCTGGGGGCACCTGGGTGGTTCAGTCGGTTAAGTGTCTGCTTTTGACTTGGGTCATGATCTGGATCGCGTCCCGCTTCGGGCTCCCTGCTCAGCAGGGAGCCTGCTTTTCTCTGCCCCTCCCCCTGCTTGGGCTCTCTCTCTCTCTCTCAAAAATAAATAAAATCTTTAAAAAAACAAAAAACAAAAAAACCCCAAAAAACCCTGTCACCTCTGCTCCTGTGTTTTTGATCCTAGATAGCAAAGAGCATTTCTACCTTCCTGTGTGCCCAACCTTGAATGCAGAGCCATCCCTGCACTTTCCTCTTCCTTCCTTGCACATCTAACAAATCAAGGACTCTGACTCTTCTTTCTGAAATCTACTTTTCCCACTCCATTCCCACTGCTCCA